TTTCTGATCAATGATATATGGGAGCGCAAAAATAATAAGCTCATATTAATATTATTCATGTCGGAAAAGCGAAATGTTTGAAAAATAGTAAAGCGCCGTTAGTTCGACAATGAAAAAGTAGTGAGACTCTTGAAAAATAATGTCAGAATAACAGCATGTGACCCCCTTTAGCGTAACATGTCCCCGTTAACCCTTTGTTTACAGTCTGCAGTATCAGGCCCGGTCAGTGTCCTGTGTGTAACCTGAGCTCGGGATTCCTCTGTGTTTCGCGTTCTGTAACCAAACCCTGAGACACCGCGTCCTCTCCCGTCCTCCCGTCCCCGTCCGAGGACACCGTGGAAGAAACATAAAGACCTGGGCGGAGACGGAGAGGTGCGTGGACGCTCCGCAACTGCAGCTTGAGTGTCCGAACGCTCACGTTTCAACTTGGACAAAAGCGAGGGAAGCCTGTCTGAGCCCCACAATAGCACGAGGAGTACAGAGTGTCATATCGTGTAGATGAGTTATGTAATAAAACGTAAAGAATCTGGCAGATGAAGGGGCTGGAGTACGGAGACACCCTGAGGACAAACTATGAAATAAGAAGAGTGAACTTAATGAGCCAGGAGGTGTAAGGAGCAAGTGGAAAATGACACTACAATAGTCTCAATGTGGCACAATTAACCTACAGTATATCCTTTCATTTGTTTATCTTGAATCATTTATAATATCCATTATGAGACAGATTTTTTATTTTTGACATTTCTGCACTTTAGTGGCTGTTTTTTTAGGGGTATTTTGAAGCAATTAAAGTCAGTAATTGGATAAATACAAGATAAATAAGTTGAATGTCCTACTGCCTGGAATGGAATGTCGAGCAATAACACTGGACTTTTTTGTGCAAAAGTATGAACCACTGAAATAAAAAATAAAAAACTCTAAATGCAAAACTGGCAATATTGTATTATATTGTATTGTAAGTATCAACTATTGATAGTGCAGTGGAATCTGTTCCGGATGCCTCCTGGGCGCCTCCTCCACCGGAAAGAGGCCCCAAGGACGACCCAGGACTCACTGGAGGGACTATGGCTACGTTCAGACTGCAGCCTGAAGTGACCCAAATCCAATTTTTTGGCCCCTATGTGACCTGTATCTGATCTTTTAATGACAGTCTGAATGACACAGATCAGATTTTTTCAAATGTGACCCAGGACACTTGGATATGTGGTCCTAAAACCGATACATATCTGATCTTTTGACATGTGACTTCAGTCTGAACGGCCAAAGCGCATTCATCCACCTACACGTTATCAACAAGCCACAAACGTCATTATTCTGCGCTGAAGTAGGCGAAAATTGTTAATGAACTCCATGTCACTGAAGTGAAGCACATCACCACTCACCACTCTTGGGTACGTCTCCACATCCACACGTTCCTTTCAACGGACGTCGCTGCCGCTGTCCCACAAAACACCACGACCAAAAACCTCGTCCTTCTCCTTCTCAATCTCCTCCTTAAAACAAGTAAGTTGTTCATGTTCTGGCTCCGGTACGAGAGGAACTTTAAAATCTCCAGGTGCTCGATGCTGCGTCCATGTTTGGACAACTTCCGTAAACACAGAGACGCTCGCTGCGGTTGACGTCGTTGTGTCTCCAGTGTCACATGCGGGACACTTTTGGGCCGTTTAATGTTCACACTGGAGTCACATACAAGTCACATTTAATTGGAAATGTAAACGACCTCGCAAAAACATTGGATTTCACAAAAAAATCGGAATTGAGCGTTAAGCCCTGCAGTCTGAACGTAGCCTATGTCTCTGTGCTGGACTGGGAACACCTTCGGGTCCCCCTGGAGGAGCTGGAGGAAGTGTCTGGGATGAAGGAAGTCTGGGAGTCCCTGCTTAAACTGCTGCCCCCGTGACCCAGCCCAGGATAAGAGGAAGAAAGTGGAAGGATGGACCCGATCACCCCCTGCTGCTCCAGAACCAGAGCCCGGACCATCCCCCGCTTGTCCAGAAACAGAAACTGGACCAACTCCCTCTCGTCCAGAACCAGAGCCTGGACCACCCCCCGCTCCTACAGAACCAGAGCCTGGACCATCCCCCTGCTCCTACAGAACCAGAGCCTGGACCATCCCCCTGCTCCTACAGAACCAGAGCCTGGACCATCCCCTGCTCCTACAGAACCAGAGCCTGGACCACCCCCCGCTCGTCCAGAACCAGAAATTGGACCATGCCCCACTCCTCCTGAACCAGATCCCGGACCAATTCCCTCTCGTCCAGAACCAGAGCCTGGACCACCCCCCGCTCGTCCAGAACCAGAAACCGGACCAACCCCCTTTCATCCAGAACCAGAGCCCGGACCAACTCCCTTTCATCCAGAACCAGAGCCCGGACCAACTCCCTCTCGTCCAGAACCAAAGCCAGGACCAACTCCCTCTCGTCCAGAACCAAAGCCCGGACCAACTCCTTCTTGTCCAGAACCAAAGCCCGGACCAACCCCCTTTCATCCAGAACCAAAGCCCGGACCAACTCCCTCTCGTCCAGAACCAAAGCCCGGACCAACCCCCTTTCATCCAGAACCAGAGCCCGGACCAACTCCCTCTCGTCCAGAACCAAAGCCCGGACCAACCCCCTTTCATCCAGAACCAGAGCCCGGACCAACTCCTTCTTGTCCAGAACCAGAGCCCGGACCAACTCCTTCTCGTCCAGAACCAGAGCCCGGACCAACTCCTTCTTGTCCAGAACCAAAGCCCGGACCAACTCCCTCTCGTCCAGAACCAGAGCCCGGACCAACTCCTTCTTGTCCAGAACCAAAGCCCGGACCAACTCCCTCTCGTCCAGAACCAGAGCCCGGACCAACTCCTTCTCGTCCAGAACCAGAGCCCTGCAGACCCCCTTATAGCAATATTGTCCATTGCTATAAAAGCTTAGGATCTGATCCACTGAGGTCAAATCCAGGACTAAACAAAGACCAGACGACACAAATAGAATAAAACTTGACTAAAGAGAAGAACAGACCTGGAGTCTCATTCACTAAAGTTAAAGAAGGAAACAACACATTAACACGTTTTAGAAGTTTCACGTTCATGTTTGACTCCCTGAGACTAAAGAATCTACCGCACATCGCATCAGGTTTGTGAAGTCGTAGTTCAGTTTCGTTTCATGTTTTTTGAATATTTACGGAGAATTGCCGTGTGGGAGCCGGGTGACGAAGGCTTGTGGGCGGAGCTTTGGACAGACTCTTATCTAAATGACTCAAACATGCATGAATAACATCTCTTCAGGCACATTTTCGATAAGGAAACCACATTATAACATGATAGAAAGATCCAAAAAGCTGATTTCACAAAACACCCTTTCTTTAACGTTGCATTCTAATAAAATGTACGAACCAAACAAACATTTCTGTCTCACTGAGCAATGAAAGTCCTGATGCCCAAAGTTCAGAGTTTTTGGACCAGATCACAAAAACTCATCTCAAAGTTGAAGTTAACAGTTAAAGTTTCAGCCTCATTTGAACTGCTTCACTCCATTACGCATCAACACACGAATATAATAGAAGCCCAAAAAAAAAAAACGTTCAAATATCCAGTCAAATATAAGTACTTTTTGGCACATAAAACATTCAAATTAAGTTTTACAAATGTTAGTGGCTCAATAGAGATGCTGCTGAGTCAAGTTACAGGTCGGATCTGCGGAGAGGCGACCCTGCTCACAGTAAAAATACATGTTTTTCAAGGTATTTTTGAGCAATAAATATATTTTTAATTGAATACTAGATAAATAAATGTTTAAAACCATACTGTGGAACATTCCTCGCAAAGCAATTACACCTTTATAAACAACTAAGTCTGTAGTACTGAGTTACATTTACTCAGCGACATTTACTTGAGTAATTTTTAAAGCAATTGTACTTTTCAGAGTACTTTTCTGGCAGCATACTTTTACTCCTACTTGTGTAATATTTTTAGTTTATTTTAAGTAACAGTGCTCATATGAGAAGTTCTGGTTTCTCTTCTGACTGTGAGTAAGTCCACAAGTGACTAAAGTTTTAGGATTTAATTCTCGTCTCATTTTACCAGATTTTGCGACTATTTAATTAAAATTTTGTCCTTCAAATTAAATTAATTTCAATTTACATATCAGAAGTTACGTCCTGACTTTAAAAAAACTACTTACTTGAGTAGTTTTAGTAGTTTTCCCAAGTACCTTTTTAAACATAATTGTTGGATCACTACTTTGTACTTCTACTTGAGTAATATTTTGAAGTAACATTGAGTACTCTACCCACTTTTACATCCATAAAAATTTCTAAAAACTTTAAGATAAGAGTTCATAAAAAGTTAAGACATAAAGCAGTGACCAAATTTGACTCAAAACTAAAAGCAGAAACGGTGGATGAAGTAGTGAAGTCCATTTTGTTACTGAAGTAAAAGTACAGACACCCGAGTAAAAAACAAAACAAAAACTCAAGTAAAAGTAAAAGTATTGTACGAAAATATCTACTGAAGTAAAAGTGTTAAAGCACCTGCTCGAAAATGTATTTAAAGAGTCAAAAGTGAAAGTGTTTCGCACAGGATTTCAGCTCTAATAAAGTTTCAAATGTAGAGATTTTGATTCAGATTTGAGCAGAATTTTGTTCAAACTGAATGAATATTTTTTTTATAGCTGTTGTTATTTTTATAGTTTAGTTTTAGACTCTGAACGTGTTAAAAATAAACCCTCAGTCTTTCCAGCAGGTCTCAAACTATAATAAAAAAATACTTTTACTTTTCAATCCTGTATAAAAATGTAGTAAAGTAGAAAGTACAGATTTATGCTTTCAAATGTAGAGAAGTAAAAGTTTAAAGTGCTTGAAAATGCACTCCAGTAAAGTACAGATAATTTACATTTCTACTTAAGCACAGTACTTTACGACTTTTACTTTGTTACATCACTTCACAGCAGTACAGAAGTAGTAGTAAAAGTAGACAGAAGTATTGTAGTAAATGTAACGACACACTGTCTGTTTGCACTCACGCGTTATTTTCATCTTGTGTCTTTCTTCCCTCGGTTAAAGTGTAAATCCTTCGCGAACATGTCAGAGCATCTGGACTCTTCCCACGGAGACACGACGCATTCTTACTGTTCTCCACGCGACACACACGACCCACACTCTGACTCTGACACACACCGAGACTAAGTCTGACTCTGACTCTGCAGACCGACACAGAGAGAGAAAGAAGAGGAGGAGGAGGAGAGAGAGAGAGAGAGGGGGGGGCAGGGAAAGAGAGGCAGAGGAGGAGGAGAGAGAGTGGGAAAGGGAGTGAGAGGGACAGAAAGACAGAGAGGAGGAGGAGCGAGAGGGAGGGGGATAGTAGGAGGAAAGAGATTGAGAGAGAGGAGAGAGGGAGAAGAGAGGGACGAAGAGAGAAGAGAGAGAAGGAGAGAGAGGAGAGGAGGAGAGAGAGGAGAGAGGAGGAGGAGGAGAAGAGGAGAAAGGGGAGGAGGGAAAAGGGAGGGAAAGAGAGGAGGAGAGGAGGAGAGAGAGAGTGGGAAAGGGAGTGAGAGGGACAGAAAGAGGGAGAGGAGGAGAAGAGACAGAGAGGAGGAGAAGAGAGAGGGAGGAGGAGGAGAGGGAGAAGAGAGGAGAGAGAGAGGGAGGGAAAGGAAGAGGAGGAAAAGGGCAGGGAAAGAGAGGGAGAGGAGGAGCGAGGAGAGAGAGTGGGAAAGGGAGTGAGAGGGACAGAAAGAGGGAGAGGAGAAGAGACAGAGGAGAGAGGAGAGAGAGAGGGAGGAGGAGGAGAGGAGGAGAGAGGAGAGAGAGGAGGAGAGAGAGAGAGAGAGGGAGGAAAGGAAGAGAGGGCAAAAAGAGAGAGAGGAGGAGAGAGAGAGAGTGGGAAAGGGAGTGAGAGGACAGAAAGAGGAGAGGAGAGGAGAGAGAGAGGAGAGAGAGGAGAGGAAGGAGGAGAGGAGGAGAGAGGGAGAGGAGAGAGGGAGAGAGAAGGAGGAGAGAGAGAGAGGAGGGAGGGAAAGGAAGAGGAGGAAAAGGGCAGGGAAAGAGAGGAAGAGGAGGAGCGAGGAGAGAGAGAGTGGGAAAGGGAGTGAGAGGGACAGAAAGAGGGAGAGGAAGAGAAGAGACAGTGAGGAGGAGAAGAGAGAGAGAGGAGGAGGAGGAGGAGGGGAGGGAGGGAAAGAGAGAGGAGGAAACGGGCACGGAAAGAGAGGGAGAGGAGGAGGAGAGACAGTGGGAAAGGGAGTGAGAGGGACAGAAAGAGGGAGAGGGGGAGGAGCAGAAGAGAGAGGGAGGGGGATAGTAGGAGGAAAGAGATTGAGAGAGAGGAGGAGAGGGAGAAGAGAGGGAAAGGACGAAGAGAGACAGAGAGAAGAGGGAGGGAAGAAGAGGAGAAGGAGGAAGAGAGGAGAGGAGAGAGGGAGGAGGAGGAGAGGGAGAGAGAGAGGAGAGAGAGGGAGAGAGGGAGAGAAAGGAAGAGGAGGAAAAGGGCAGGGAAAGAGAGGGAGAGAGGAGGAGTGAGGAGAGAGAGGAGAGAGGAGAGAGGAGGGAGGAGAGGAGAAGAAGAGAGAGGAGAGAGGGAGAGAGGAAAGGGAGAGGAGGAAAAGGCAGGAGAGAGGAGGAGAGGAGAGAGAGAGAGTGGGAAAGGGAGGAGAGGGACAGAAAGAGGAGGAGGGGGAGAAGAAAGAGAGAGGAGAGGAGGAGAGAGGAGAGAGGAGAGGAGGAGGAAGGAGAGAGGGAGGAAAGGAAGAGGAAAGAGAGGAGGAGGAGGAGAGAGAGAGGAAAGGGAGTGAGAGGGACAGAAGAGGAGAGGAGAGAAGAGACAGAGAGGAGGAAAGAGGAGGAGGAGGAGGAGAGGGAGAAGAGAGAGAGAGAGAGGGAGGGAAAGAAGAGGAGGAAAAGGCAGGAAAGAGAGGGAGGAGGAGGAGGAGAGAGAGGGAAAGGGAGTGAGAGAGAAGGAGAGAGAAGAGAGAGAGAGAGGGAGAGAGGAGGAGGAAGAAGGAGGAGAAGGAGGAGAGGAGGAGAGAGAGAGAGAGGAGAGAGGAGAAGAGAGGGAAGAGAGGAGAGAGAGAGAGAGAGAGAGAGGGAGGGAAGAGGAGAGGAGGGGAAAGAGAGGAGAGAGAGGAGGAGAAGAGAGAGGGAGAGAGAGGAGTGAGAGGGACAGAGGAGAGGAGGAGAGAGGAGAGAAGGAGAGAGAGGAGGAGAGAGAGGAGAGAGGAGGAGAGAGAGAGAGGAGAGAGAGAGGGAGAGAGGAGAGAGGAGGAGAGGAAAGGAGGAGAGAGGGAGAGAGAGAGGAGAGAGAGGAGAAAGAGAGGGAGGAGAGAGGAGAGAGGAGGAGAGAGAGAGGAGAGAGGAGGAGGAGGAGAGAGGAGGAGAGAGAGGAGAAGAGAGGAGAGAGAGAGAGAGGAGGAAAGGGAGAGGAGGAAGAAGGGAGGAAGAGAGGAGAGGAGGAGGAGGAGAGAGAGAGGAAAAGGAGTGAGAGGACAGAAAGAGGAGAGAAGAGAAGACAGGAGAGAGAGAGGAGAGAGAGAGAGAGAGGAGGGAGGAGGGAGGAAAGAAGAGAGAGAAACGGGAGGGAAAGAGAGGGAAGAGAGGAGAGACAGTGGAAAAAGGGAGTGAGAGGACAGAAAGAGGGAGAGGAGGAGAGAGAAGAGAGGAGAGAGGAAGAGAAAGAGGGAGGAGAGAAGGAGCGGAGGGAGAAGAGAGAAAAAGGAGAGAGAGGAGAGGGAGAGAGGAGAGAGAGGAGAGGGAGGGAGAGGAGGAGGGAGACAGGGAAAAGAGGAGGACAAAGGGTGAGGGAGAGAAAGACAGAGAGGAAAACGGGAGTGTAAAGTGGATCCATAAAGTGAAGTGAACTGGTCAAAGAGTAAGCTTGGAATCTTCCCAGGCACTGATGTTAACTGTGTAACAATGAGGCCCAGCTAACTAGGGAAAGTTGAGTAGAGAGTTGGAAAGATCAAGGTGAGGATTGAGGAGGTCAGGAGTTGGAGAGAAACACTGTTGGCCAGGAGGAGAGATGAGCTGGAAAGCTGGAAAGAGATGTTTAAACTGGAAGAAGGAAAGCTCTGGAATTTATGAAGCCTGACCTTTTAGAATGATGTCTCTGACATTGGAGGTGTATGAGTTGAGCCCATAGGTAAGGAGTGAGACAAAAAGACAAAGTAGGTTTTGATTGTTTTTTTTAAAGTGTGAGGTAAAGTATACAGGAGATAATTATATAATTTGAAAAAGCATAAAATCATACAAAAAAAAAAAAAGAGAGGAAAAGGGAGTGAGCGGGAAAGAAAAAGGGAGAGGAGGAGGAGTGAGAGGGAGAGAACGAGAGAGGAGGGGGGAGGGGTCTCAGCTCCACATGTGTCGGAAAGAGAAAGAGAGAGAGATCAATAATTCCAGGACTGAAATAATTGTAATGATTCAAGTGAAAATGTATGGAGTTTAAAAACACAGTGGAGCACGTCCTGTATTTCCACTCGAAGGTTACAAGGTTTAAGAGAAGAACTCAGCATAAATCTGCAGAGTTTGTGTGTTAAACATGTGTGAATGAAACAAAACAAAACACAACTCTAGGTCTGTTTGTGACGAGGAAACAACATTATTATAATCATAAAACAGAGTAATATTGGCTCTTTAAAAACAAGAATCTTTAAAAACTATAGACTAAACCCTGAATGACATAATCCAAACCACTGAACCAGGACAAAGTACTTTAAACCACATGTAATAAAAAGTGAACTTCCAGGCAAAACCAAGGCTCAACTTAGACCAAACCAGACCTGAACCAGGACTCAGAATAAACTCAGATCTACAGTAAAGCCTCAATCAGCGGCAGAAGACAACAAAGTACAGAAGTAAAAGTACAAATTTAGGTATGTGTACTTTACTTAAGTCAATTTTACAGTTTTAACTTTTACGTCATTACATTTTGAGAGCATGTATCTGTACTTTCTACTGCACTATATTTTACATCTGGACTGAAAAGTAAAAAAAAAGTACTTTTCTTTATGATTTGAGTTTTCTTGTTCCCATTCCTTTTTGGGCTTTTTTTTTTTTTTTTTTTTTTTTTTTGTTGTTGTTGTTGTGGTTATTCTGACTTCACTAATGTTACATGTTCCAATATGTAAGAATGTAAATCTCTAACTTGTCCAAAATAAATAAATAAATAAATCAAAATAAATAAATAAATTAAATAAATTAAATAAATTAAATACAATAAAATAAAAATAAATAAATTATATAAAATAAATAAAAAATAAAAAAAATAAAATAAATGTAATTAAAATAAAATACAAAAAAATAAATACATATATAAATTAAAATAAATACAAATAAAATAAAATAAATAAATAAATAAATAAATAAATAAACGGATGAGAATTTATTCTTTTTTTTATTTTTGAGTTAACATCCCAACTATGAGCAAACCAAATACATAAAAGCGGATAAAAAATGTAAGAAATCAATTTTATCACTTAAAATCTTCTAAATTCTTTATCAAAATCACTATATATCATCTTTTCATTGTTCTAAAAATCTCTGCAAGACACTTTTTATTTTTTACTTTTTACTCTTTAGTACATTTTTAAACAGGTACTTTCATACTTTTACGTCAGTAGATTTTTTCATGTGATACTTTTTACTTTTACCTGAGGAACTTTGTACCTTTGTATCTGTACTTTCACTTAAGTAACAAAACTGAGTACTTCATCCAGCCCTGGCCTCAATCTGGAGTGCTAGTTAGCTCCAGGCTTTTGCGCGACATCGTGTAGCCTAGCATACTTCCCCCGCGCTCACGGCTCACGCTCGAGTCCAGATGTTCCTCCCTCCAGTGGAAAAGCTGCGGTGTGCAGAAGAGCCAGACGCCCGGGGAAAAACATGACATCACGTTTTAGCCGCTCGCCGTCTGCAGCCGCTGAGTCACGGATACAGAACGATGGAGCTCGCGTTGACTACAGCTACAGTCTAATGGAAGCAATGTGTCAACAAAGCCGCCATCTTGGTACTGGATAATGATGATTTAAATGAATGAACCTCAATCGGGGACATCAGTGTTTCCCACAAACCAAGTAGCACTGGTCCACTGGTTTAGTCCTGGTTTAGTCCTGGTTTAGTCCTGGTTTAGTCCTGGTTCAGTCCTGGTTCAGTCCTGGTTTAGTCCTGATTTAGTCCTGGTTAAGTCCTGGTTC